TTGAGCCTTGAAAAAAGTCATCTTTAAAAAATCCACGCCTTGTTTGAGCCTTGAAAAAAGTCATCTTTAAAAAATCCACGCCTTGTTTGAGCCTTGAAAAAAGTCATCTTTAAAAAATCCACGCCTTGTTTGAGCCTTGAAAAAAGTCATCTTTAAAAAATCCACGCCTTGTTTGAGCCTTGAAAAAAGTCATCTTTAAAAAATCCACGCCTTGTTTGAGCCTTGAAAAAAGTCATCTTTAAAAAATCCACGCCTTGTTTGAGCCTTGAAAAAAGTCATCTTTAAAAAATCCACGCCTTGTTTGAGCCTTGAAAAAAGTCATCTTTAAAAAATCCACGCCTTGTTTGAGCCTTGAAAAAAGTCATCTTTAAAAAATCCACGCCTTGTTTGAGCCTTGAAAAAAGTCATCTTTAAAAAATCCACGCCTTGTTTGAGCCTTGAAAAAAAAAAATCCACGTCATCTTTAAAAAATCCACGCCTTGTTTGAGCCTTGAAAAAAGTCATCTTTAAAAAATCCACGCCTTGTTTGAGCCTTGAAAAAAGTCATCTTTAAAAAATCCACGCCTTGTTTGAGCCTTGAAAAAAGTCATCTTTAAAAAATCCACGCCTTGTTTGAGCCTTGAAAAAAGTCATCTTTAAAAAATCCACGCCTTGTTTGAGCCTTGAAAAAAGTCATCTTTAAAAAATCCACGCCTTGTTTGAGCCTTGAAAAAAGTCATCTTTAAAAAATCCACGCCTTGTTTGAGCCTTGAAAAAAGTCATCTTTAAAAAATCCACGCCTTGTTTGAGCCTTGAAAAAAGTCATCTTTAAAAAATCCACGCCTTGTTTGAGCCTTGAAAAAAGTCATCTTTAAAAAATCCACGCCTTGTTTGAGCCTTGAAAAAAGTCATCTTTAAAAAATCCACGCCTTGTTTGAGCCTTGAAAAAAGTCATCTTTAAAAAATCCACGCCTTGTTTGAGCCTTGAAAAAAGTCATCTTTAAAAAATCCACGCCTTGTTTGAGCCTTGAAAAAAGTCATCTTTAAAAAATCCACGCCTTGTTTGAGCCTTGAAAAAAGTCATCTTTAAAAAATCCACGCCTTGTTTGAGCCTCTTTCTTTAAAAAATCCACGCCTTGTTTGAGCCTTGAAAAAAGTCTTTAAAAAATCCACGCCTTGTTTGAGCCTTGAAAAAAGTCATCTTTAAAAAATCCACGCCTCTTTAAAAAATCCACGCCTCTTTAAAAAATCCACGCCTTGTTTGAGCCTTGAAAAAAGTCATCTTTAAAAAATCCACGCCTTGTTTGAGCCTTGAAAAAAGTCATCTTTAAAAAATCCACGCCTTGTTTGAGCCTTGAAAAAAGTCATCTTTAAAAAATCCACGCCTTGTTTGAGCCTTGAAAAAAGTCATCTTTAAAAAATCCACGCCTTGTTTGAGCCTTGAAAAAAGTCATCTTTAAAAAATCCACGCCTTGTTTGAGCCTTGAAAAAAGTCATCTTTAAAAAATCCACGCCTTGTTTGAGCCTTGAAAAAAGTCATCTTTAAAAAATCCACGCCTTGTTTGAGCCTTGAAAAAAGTCATCTTTAAAAAATCCACGCCTTGTTTGAGCCTTGAAAAAAGTCATCTTTAAAAAATCCACGCCTTGTTTGAGCCTTGAAAAAAGTCATCTTTAAAAAATCCACGCCTTGTTTGAGCCTTGAAAAAAGTCATCTTTAAAAAATCCACGCCTTGTTTGAGCCTTGAAAAAAAAATCCACGCCTTGTTTGAGCCTTGAAAAAAGTCATCTTTAAAAAATCCACGCCTTGTTTGAGCCTTGAAAAAAGTCATCTTTAAAAAATCCACGCCTTGTTTGAGCCTTGAAAAAAGTCTGCTTTAAAAAATCCACGCCTTGTTTGAGCCTTGAAAAAAGTCTTCTTTAAAAAATCCACGCCTTGTTTGAGCCTTGAAAAAAGTTCTTTAAAAAAACCACTCGAGCATTTAAAAAAGTCTTCTTTAAAAAATCCACGCCTTGTTTGAGCCTTGAAAAAAGTCTTCTTTAAAAAATCCACGCCTTGTTTGAGCCTTGAAAAAAGTCTTCTTTAAAAAATCCACGCCTTGTTTGAGCCTTGAAAAAAGTCTTCTTTAAAAAATCCACGCCTTGTTTGAGCCTTGAAAAAAGTCTCCTTGTTTGAGCCTTGAAAAAAGTCTTCTTTAAAAAATCCACGCCTTGTTTGAGCCTTGAAAAAAGTCTTCTTTAAAAAATCCACGCCTTGTTTGAGCCTTGAAAAAAGTCTTTAAAAAATCCACGCCTTGTTTGAGCCTTGAAAAAAGTCTTCTTTAAAAAACCAGGCCTTCGATCGGCCTTGAAAAAAGTCTTCTTTAAAAAATCCTTGTTTGAGCCTTGAAAAAAGTCTTCTTTAATTTATCGTCGCCTTGTTTGTTCCTTGAAAAAAGTCTTCTTTAAAAAATCCACGCCTTGTTTGAGCCTTGAAAAAAGTCTTCTTTAAAAAATCCACGCCTTGTTTGAGCCTTGAAAAAAGTCTTCTTTAAAAAATCCGCGCCTTGTTTGAGCCTTGAAAAAGTCTTCTTTAAAAAATCCGCGCCATGTTTGAGCCTTGAAAAAGTCTTCTTTAAAAAATCCACGCCTTGTTTGAGCCTTGAAAAAAGTCTTCTTTAAAAAATCTACGCCTTGTTTGAGCCTTGAAAAAAGTCTTCTTTGAAAAATCCACGCCTTGTTTGAGCCTTGAAAAAAGTCTGCTTTAAAAAATCCACGCCTTGTTTGAGCCTTGAAAAAAGTCTGCTTTAAAAAATCCACGCCTGAAAAATATTTTTTAAAAAATATTTTTTAAAAAATCCTCGCATTGTATAGCCTTTGAAAAAGTCTTCTTTAAAAAAATCCACGCCTTGTTGGACACCTTGAAGAAAATATTTTGTTAAAAAATCTACGCTCAGTTTAGACCTTGAAAAATATTCTTTAGAGAATCCACGCCTTGTTTGAGCCTTGAAAATAGTCTTCCTTAAAATATTCACTCCTTATGTGTGTGTGAGGATATATTTCTAAAGAGTGTGTTTGGCCCATGAAACAAATATCCTTGATTCTTGGAATTCTCCTTACATTTTTCTCTGAGCTTAAATCTGCAACTAACCATTACTGATGGCTTGTCGGCTGCCTGCCGCGCTCTCTCTGCTGCCTAACACATAAACATGCCGCCATATTATAGCGGGAAATATTTGCCTAACGGCATTTGTTGCCATTTCCCGTCTTTTATCCGTGACTCCGTTTTCCGTCGCTTCAACTTCTTTGTAACCGGTTTAACAGAATATGTTTGTGTTGCGCTGTTGACAACACAATGGTAAAGGATAACACGAGCGAAAGAACAAAACCATGCAACCAACACGACATACGACCCGACCTGCCTGATGTGCTTTTTTTATTTTCTGGCTTTCTTGTTATTCTGCTTGACTCTGAAACAATGAAAGGACGAAAAAATTAGGGAGTGTTAAGTGTGGTGCAAGAAAAAGTTTTAAATTAATTAAGAAGTGCAGCAGTTAAAAAAAGACGAAAAACAGAATGTGTGGTTTTTCTTTGGAAAACAAAGAGGAAAACTCAATCACGAAATGGCATTGCTAAATCAAGGCAGTGGAAGAAAAACTGGTGAGGAATTGTAAAATTTACATCCTGTTTGTCGGAAATCAACAACAGCAACAACGAATTCCCAACGCAACGCAACGCAAAACGAAACGAGACCTCTGGGGTAGTGGCAGTAAATATGTCCATAAATTGGTTCAATAATCTCAGTAATCGCAGTTTGGTGATTACGATCCTGATTTGCATATCCTTAATCTATGTGTCGTACACATTTAATTCGTGTCTTATCACAAATTTGGGACGCACCCTTAACAAGGTAAGACATTTGTTTTTATTTTTTTATCCTGGAGAAAAATTTGTCTTCCTCTCCATAGAATTCCCTAAAGCAGTTTTTTATTACCACCTCATTATGGTCGGGTGATAATATGCTCGTTGAGAATGCCACCAAATTGGCAGTGGCCAATAATAATACCACCAATTTTACCAATGGAAGCAGTAATACTTCCACCAAGGACTCTGTCCATCCGCATTTACACAATAATAAACTGATGGCGAAAAAGTCGGGAGCCCAAATGAACTCTTCCACCACCTCTGCCTCAGCTCCACGTATTTTAGATGGTTCTCCAAAATATCGTTTGCTGCGACAGCAGGGTTCACGACCCTCACGCCACTTACCCGATACCTTAATTATTGGTGTCAAGAAATCTGGTACTCGTGCCCTTTTGGAATTTATACGACTTCATCCGGATGTTCGTGCTGCTGGTTGTGAGGTGCATTTTTTCGATCGCCACTATCAAAAGGGTTTACACTGGTATCGCCATCACATGCCATACACCATTGAGGGTCAGATAACCATGGAGAAGACACCGAGTTATTTTGTTACCAAAGAAGTGCCGCAGAGGGTGCATCATATGAATGCCAATACGAAGTAAGTCCAAATCGATTTTTTTTTAAAGCCATACACGGCGTGGATTGAAAAAAAATCTTCTTTCAAGGGTCAAACAAGGCGTGGAGATTTTAAATAATCTTTTTTTCAAGGGTTGGTCAAACAAAGCGTGGATTTTTTAAAGAAGACTTTTTTCAAGGGTTGGTCAAACAAGGCGTGGATTTTTTAAAGAAGACTTTTTTCAAGGCGTGGATTTTTTAAAGAAGACTTTTTTCAAGGCGTGGATTTTTTAAAGAAGACTTTTTTCAAGGCGTGGATTTTTTAAAGAAGACTTTTTTCAAGGCGTGGATTTTTTAAAGAAGACTTTTTTCAAGGCGTGGATTTTTTAAAGAAGACTTTTTTCAAGGCGTGGATTTTTTAAAGAAGACTTTTTTCAAGGCGTGGATTTTTTAAAGAAGACTTTTTTCAAGGCGTGGATTTTTTAAAGAAGACTTTTTTCAAGGCGTGGATTTTTTAAAGAAGACTTTTTTCAAGGCGTGGATTTTTTAAAGAAGACTTTTTTCAAGGCGTGGATTTTTTAAAGAAGACTTTTTTCAAGGCGTGGATTTTTTAAAGAAGACTTTTTTCAAGGCGTGGATTTTTTAAAGAAGACTTTTTTCAAGGCGTGGATTTTTTAAAGAAGACTTTTTTCAAGGCGTGGATTTTTTAAAGAAGACTTTTTTCAAGGCGTGGATTTTTTAAAGAAGACTTTTTTCAAGGCGTGGATTTTTTAAAGAAGACTTTTTTCAAGGCGTGGATTTTTTAAAGAAGACTTTTTTCAAGGCGTGGATTTTTTAAAGAAGACTTTTTTCAAGGCGTGGATTTTTTAAAGAAGACTTTTTTCAAGGCGTGGATTTTTTAAAGAAGACTTTTTTCAAGGCGTGGATTTTTTAAAGAAGACTTTTTTCAAGGCGTGGATTTTTTAAAGAAGACTTTTTTCAAGGCGTGGATTTTTTAAAGAAGACTTTTTTCAAGGCGTGGATTTTTTAAAGAAGACTTTTTTCAAGGCGTGGATTTTTTAAAGAAGACTTTTTTCAAGGCGTGGATTTTTTAAAGAAGACTTTTTTCAAGGCGTGGATTTTTTAAAGAAGACTTTTTTCAAGGCGTGGATTTTTTAAAGAAGACTTTTTTCAAGGCGTGGATTTTTTAAAGAAGACTTTTTTCAAGGCGTGGATTTTTTAAAGAAGACTTTTTTCAAGGCGTGGATTTTTTAAAGAAGACTTTTTTCAAGGCGTGGATTTTTTAAAGAAGACTTTTTTCAAGGCGTGGATTTTTTAAAGAAGACTTTTTTCAAGGCGTGGATTTTTTAAAGAAGACTTTTTTCAAGGCGTGGATTTTTTAAAGAAGACTTTTTTCAAGGCGTGGATTTTTTAAAGAAGACTTTTTTCAAGGCGTGGATTTTTTAAAGAAGACCTTTTTCAAGGCGTAGATTTTTTAAAGAAGACCTTTTTCAAGGCGTAGATTTTTTAAAGAAGACCTTTTTCAAGGCGTAGATTTTTTAAAGAAGACCTTTTTCAAGGCGTGGATTTTTTAAAGAAGACTTTTTTTAAGGCGTGGATTTTTTAAAGAAGACTTTTTTTAAGGCGTGGATTTTTAAAAAAAACTTTTTTCAAGGCGTGGATTTTTTAAAAAAGACTTTTTTCAAGGCGTGGATTTTTTAAAAAAAAAACTTTTTTCAAGGCGTGGATTTTTTAAAAAAAAAACTTTTTTCAAGGCGTGGATTTTTTAAAAAAGACTTTTTTCAAGGCGTGGATTTTTAAAAAAGACTTTTTTCAAGGCGTGGATTTTTAAAAAAAACTTTTTTCAAGGCGTGGATTTTTTAAAAAAGACTTTTTTCAAGGCGTGGATTTTTAAAAAAAACTTTTTTCAAGGCGTGGATTTTTAAAAAAAGACTTTTTTCAAGGCGTGGATTTTTTAAAAAAGACTTTTTTCAAGGCGTGGATTTTTAAAAAAGACTTTTTTCAAGGCGTGGATTTTTAAAAAAAACTTTTTTCAAGGCGTGGATTTTTTAAAAAAGACTTTTTTCAAGGCGTGGATTTTTAAAAAAAACTTTTTTCAAGGCGTGGATTTTTAAAAAAAACTTTTTTCAAGGCGTGGATTTTTTAAAAAAGACTTTTTTCAAGGCGTGGATTTTTTAAAAAAGACTTTTTTCAAGGCGTGGATTTTTAAAAAAAAAAAACTTTTTTCAAGGCGTGGATTTTTTAAAAAAGACTTTTTTCAAGGCGTGGATTTTTTAAAAAAGACTTTTTTCAAGGCGTGGATTTTTTAAAAAAGACTTTTTTCAAGGCGTGGATTTTTTAAAAAAGACTTTTTTCAAGGCGTGGATTTTTTAAAAAAGACTTTTTTCAAGGCGTGGATTTTTTAAAAAAGACTTTTTTCAAGGCTTGGATTTTTTAAAAAAGACTTTTTTCAAGGCGTGGATTTTTTAAAAAAGACTTTTTTCAAGGCGTGGATTTTTTAAAAAAGACTTTTTTCAAGGCGTGGATTTTTTAAAAAAGACTTTTTTCAAGGCGTGGATTTTTTAAAAAAGACTTTTTTCAAGGCGTGGATTTTTTAAAAATGACTTTTTTCAAGGCGTGGATTTTTTAAAAAAGACTTTTCAAGGCGTGGATTTTTTAAAAATGACTTTTTTCAAGGCGTGGATTTTTTAAAAATGACTTTTTTCAAGGCGTGGATTTTTTAAAAATGACTTTTTTCAAGGCGTGGATTTTTTAAAAATGACTTTTTTCAAGGCGTGGATTTTTTAAAAATGACTTTTTTCAAGGCGTGGATTTTTTAAAAATGACTTTTTTCAAGGCGTGGATTTTTTAAAAAAGACTTTTTTCAAGGCGTGGATTTTTTAAAAAAGACTTTTTTCAAGGCGTGGATTTTTTAAAAAAGACTTTTTTCAAGGCGTGGATTTTTTTAAAAAAGACTTTTTTCAAGGCGTGGATTTTTTAAAAAAGACTTTTTTCAAGGCGTGGATTTTTTAAAAAAGACTTTTTTCAAGGCGTGGATTTTTTAAAAAAGACTTTTTTCAAGGCGTGGATTTTTTAAAAAAGACTTTTTTCAAGGCGTGGATTTTTTAAAAAAGACTTTTTTCAAGGCGTGGATTTTTTAAAAAAGACTTTTTTCAAGGCGCGGATTTTTTAAAAAAGACTTTTTTCAAGGCGTGGATTTTTTAAAAAAGACTTTTTTCAAGGCGTGGATTTTTTAAAAAAGACTTTTTTCAAGGCGTGGATTTTTTAAAAAAGACTTTTTTCAAGGCGTGGATTTTTTAAAAAAGACTTTTTTCAAGGCGTGGATTTTTTAAAAAAGACTTTTTTCAAGGCGTGGATTTTTTAAAAAAGACTTTTTTCAAGGCGTGGATTTTTTAAAAAAGACTTTTTTCAAGGCGTGGATTTTTTAAAAAAGACTTTTTTCAAGGCGTGGATTTTTTAAAAAAGACTTTTTTCAAGGCGTGGATTTTTTAAAAAAGACTTTTTTCAAGGCGCGGATTTTTTAAAAAAGACTTTTTTCAAGGCGTGGATTTTTTAAAAAAGACTTTTTTCAAGGCGTGGATTTTTTAAAAAAGACTTTTTTCAAGGCGTGGATTTTTTAAAAAAGACTTTTTTCAAGGCGTGGATTTTTTAAAAAAGACTTTTTTCAAGGCGTGGATTTTTTAAAAAAGACTTTTTTCAAGGCGTGGATTTTTTAAAAAAGACTTTTTTCAAGGCGTGGATTTTTTAAAAAAGACTTTTTTCAAGGCGCGGATTTTTTAAAAAAGACTTTTTTCAAGGCGTGGATTTTTTAAAAAATACTTTTTTCAAGGCGTGGATTTTTTAAAAAAGACTTTTTTCAAGGCGCGGATTTTTTAAAAAAGACTTTTTTCAAGGCGTGGATTTTTTAAAAAAGACTTTTTTCAAGGCGTGGATTTTTTAAAAAAGACTTTTTTCAAGGCGTGGATTTTTTAAAAAAGACTTTTTTCAAGGCGTGGATTTTTTAAAAAAGACTTTTTTCAAGGCGTGGATTTTTTAAAAAAGACTTTTTTCAAGGCGTGGATTTTTTAAAAAAGACTTTTTTCAAGGCGTGGATTTTTTAAAAATGACTTTTTTCAAGGCGTGGATTTTTTAAAAATGACTTTTTTCAAGGCGTGGATTTTTTAGAAATGACTTTTTTCAAGGCGTGGATTTTTTAAAAATGACTTTTTTCAAGGCGTGGATTTTTTAAAAAAGACTTTTTTCAAGGCGTGGATTTTTTAAAAATGACTTTTTTCAAGGCGTGGATTTTTTAAAAATGACTTTTTTCAAGGCGTGGATTTTTTAAAAATGACTTTTTTCAAGGCGTGGATTTTTTAAAAAAGACTTTTTTCAAGGCGTGGATTTTTTAAAAAAGACTTTTTTCAAGGCGTGGATTTTTTAAAAAAGACTTTTTTCAAGGCGTGGATTTTTTAAAAAAGACTTTTTTCAAGGCGTGGATTTTTTAAAAAAGACTTTTTTCAAGGCGTGGATTTTTTAAAAAAGACTTTTTTCAAGGCGTGGATTTTTTAAAAAAGACTTTTTTCAAGGCGTGGATTTTTTAAAAAAGACTTTTTTCAAGGCGTGGATTTTTTAAAAAAGACTTTTTTCAAGGCGTGGATTTTTTAAAAAAGACTTTTTTCAAGGCGCGGATTTTTTAAAAAAGACTTTTTTCAAGGCGTGGATTTTTTAAAAAAGACTTTTTTCAAGGCGTGGATTTTTTAAAAAAGACTTTTTTCAAGGCGTGGATTTTTTAAAAAAGACTTTTTTCAAGGCGCGGATTTTTTAAAAAAGACTTTTTTCAAGGCGTGGATTTTTTAAAAAAGACTTTTTTCAAGGCGTGGATTTTTTAAAAAAGACTTTTTTCAAGGCGTGGATTTTTTAAAAAAGACTTTTTTCAAGGCGTGGATTTTTTAAAAAAGACTTTTTTCAAGGCGTGGATTTTTTAAAAAAGACTTTTTTCAAGGCGCGGATTTTTTAAAAAAGACTTTTTTCAAGGCGTGGATTTTTTAAAAAAGACTTTTTTCAAGGCGTGGATTTTTTAAAAAATACTTTTTTCAAGGCGTGGATTTTTTAAAAAAGACTTTTTTCAAGGCGTGGATTTTTTAAAAAAGACTTTTTTCAAGGCGTGGATTTTTTAAAAAAGACTTTTTTCAAGGCGTGGATTTTTTAAAAAAGACTTTTTTCAAGGCGCGGATTTTTTAAAAAAGACTTTTTTCAAGGCGTGGATTTTTTAAAAAAGACTTTTTTCAAGGCGTGGATTTTTTAAAAAAGACTTTTTTCAAGGCGTGGATTTTTTAAAAAAGACTTTTTTCAAGGCGTGGATTTTTTAAAAAAGACTTTTTTCAAGGCGTGGATTTTTTAAAGAACAATTTTTCAGGGGTCGGTCAAACAAGGCGTGGATTTTTTAAAGAATAATTGTTTCAAGGGTCGGTCAAACAAAGAGTGGATTTTTTAAAGGATAACTTTTTGAAGGTTCGGTCAAACAAGGCGTGGATTTTTTTAAAAAATACTTTTTTTCAAGGGTCGGTCAAACAAGGCGTGGATTTTTTTAAAAAATACTTTTTTTCAAGGGTCGGTCAAACAAGGCGTGGATTTTTTTAAAAAATACTTTTTTTCAAGGGTCGGTCAAACAAGGCGTGGATTTTTTTTAAAAAATACTTTTTTCAAGGGTCTGTCAAACAAGGAGTGTATTTTTTAAAGAATCATTTTTCGAGGGTTGGTCAAACAAGGAGTGGATTTTTTTTTAAATACTTTTTTCAAGGGTCGGTCAAACAAGGCGTGGATTTTTTTAAAGAATAATTTTTTCAAGGGTCGGCCAAAAAAGGCGTGGATTTTTTAAAGGATCATTTTTTCAAGGGTCGGTCAAACAAGGCGTGAATTTTTTTAAAGAATAATTTTTTCAATTGTCGGTCAAACAAGGCGTGGATTTTTTTAAAGAATAATTTTTTAAAAGATTAATATTTTAAGGTTCAAACAGGGTTTGGATTTTTTAAAGATTAATTTTTTCAAGGCTCAAACAAGACTAAATTTGTTTGTCTCCTTTAGACTCCTGGTTGTTGTTCGTGATCCTGTTACACGTGCCATATCCGATTATACCCAAGCGGCTAGCAAAAAAGCCGATATGAAACGTTTTGAAGATTTGGCCTTTGTCAATGGTTCCTATGCTGTTGTGGACACAAATTGGGGACCTGTAAAAATTGGAATTTACTCGAGATATTTGGAAAAATGGCTACACTATTTCCAACTGTCACAATTGCTGTTCATTAGCGGAGAGCGTCTCATAATGGATCCAGCCTATGAAATTGGACGTGTCCAAGATTTCTTGGGCCTCAAACGTGTCGTTACCGAAAAACATTTCTATTTTAATGCTACCAAAGGATTTCCGTGCCTCTTTAAATCGGAGGCCCGCTCCACACCCCATTGTCTGGGTAAGACAAAAGGTCGCAATCATCCTCATATTGAGGCGGCGGCCATTGAAAGACTGCGTGATTTTTATAGGCCATTTAATAATCGTTTTTATGAAATGACAGGAATTAATTTTGCCTGGCCATAAAATGGTTACCATACGGAAAGGGAGGGTATACAAATGTTTTTTTTCTTTTTTATATAGAATAGGAATTGGTAGAAAGTTTGAATTATTAATATTCTTAATGAAATATTTCGAAAGACAAGTTAGTGATATTTATAAAAAAAAATTACAAAAAATTATGAAATTGACATTTTCAATTAGGTGGATGTAGGCGGCAAAAATTAAATAATCGAAAATTGAATAAGAAGGGGAAGATAGAGGAGGGTCGTAGAAAAGTAAAATAATTTAGTTCTGAGAACTGATAATTATTTTGTTCTAATTTCCGGATTTTTAAGTATTTCGAAAAATCGATTTAAATATCTTGACCTCTATGACCCTTCGTTGTTTTTCACCTTATTGTGAGTATTTTTAACCATCTAATGGAATTTGACTTAGACTTGAAATAGAATATGTTGAAATCATAAATAAACCGAAACTAAACTAGAACAACGCACAATCGGGCTTTGTAAAAACAAGCTTGTGAATTCAAAAAGAAGAGATAGAATCCAAAATACCAATAGCATTTATAAAATGATATATCCTTTGAACTTATACAACTCTACTTTATATTAATATATTTGATAATACAAAAACCAAACAAGAAAAAAATATTATACTCATATATTAACTAGTATTATAGAACTATTCTAAAATATATAAATAAACCAAAACAAGACTTTGATATATATAGTATATATATTTCAATATATTTATAAAATATATAAGAAAAAACATAAAATGAACACCCGTACTATGGTCAAAACTAACCTCTTATCTCACTCTCCCCCTCAACTTTTCATGTAGCTTAAAATCCCACAAATGAAGAAAAATTTAAACAAAAAAATCAAAACTACAAAATAATCATAAATAAAGGTTCCTCTTGCATCTTATATAGAGATCATCTTAACTGAAATCACTTGCAATCATTTCTCTTTCCTAAAACATCACCACTCACACTAAACTCTACTCTCTCTCTACTACCGTATTTATAAATAGAACACGCACACTATAACTTAAAAATCAGGAGCTTACAAAAGTAAAATAAAACACATATTTTGTAGTAAAGTTAATACCAGTTACAATTTCATTCCAATAACAAAATTAAATGAAATTTTATAAAAATGAAAAATTTATTTATTAAATTATTATTTATCATCAAAACTTAGAGAAACATTTTTCCACAACTTATTATATTTTAAAAAACAGTGAGCGGAGCAGTATAGTCGGACCTATATTCTGATCCTGGGCAATATTTCTTGATATTTACACTATCTTGACCTGTTAGAGGTCAAGATCTCCCTTTTCTTGCCGTGACATTTTTTCCGAATCGTGTTTTCCTGATTGATCTATTTGCCAATCAACTTATTTCTAAGCTCACCGATTACAAATGTGAAATCAGATTTGGAAAATCCAATAGAATGGATCCAAAATAGCGGATCGTGTATTACAATAAATTAAATATTAGGTTGGGGAAAAATAAATCCATTATTTTTTCGGAAGATGGCTGTACTGATAGATTTCTCGTAAAGTATCGACAAAACAATTTCAGATTTATGCTCGTTGGAAGGGTGATATTTCGAAGTAAAACAAGTAAAAAAGTGTCAGTCGGTGTTGCCCCAGCCTATGGATTGCGAAGGTCTTCCAAATTTGACACAGATTTTATTATTAGCTTTATATAAGAAACTACCAAAGTGCCCCCTACTTCGTACCAGGCCATTGAAAATCTTGAAAAATTAAATTCGTGAATAGGGGGGGAGGTCCCTTAATGTTGATAAAATTTTATAAAATATTGAACATTTGTAAGGGTGGTACCTGAAGGAGTGGACTACTGGGTCCCATCTTTGGACTTAATCTAGACATCGTAAAGATATTTGGTTTGTGCAAAGTTTGGTTCACATCGGACCTTCCATTCGCCTGATATTGGATTAACAAATATTGAAAATGTTAATCATTTGTGGGGGTGGTACTAGAAGGAGTTGACCAATGGGTCCCATCTTCCTACTTGATCTAGGCTTGGTAAAGATAATAGGCTGTACAAAGTTTCATTAACATCGGATAGACCGTTTGCATGTTATTTTAAAATTAATGTTGAATATAATTTTGACCATTTTCTGTGGGAGGTACCAGAAGGAGTGGGCCGATATTCCCCATCTTCGAACTTAAACTAATTTTGGGCGGAAAGTTTAAATGAAATCGTTTGCTGCCTTAGAGATTTATCGGGCGCATCGGCCAGTCAACCAGACAGACAAAGCACGGACGGACATGGATAAATCGATTCCAAATTTTCTGAAACGGATTTGCTCCAAAGAAACATGGGGTCTAAAACCAATATTTCGATGAGGCACATTTTCACCGTATCAAAGTGTATATGTCCTCATTAGCATAAAGGCTGCTGAGGGTATAAAAATATTTTCCGGTTTTTTGTTTGGTGCATTCAGTTGTGAGTTACAGGGTGTTTAAAATTGAAGTGAACAAAGAGAAAATTCTGTACATTTTACAGACAAAGGCGAAAATTCAAGCCAAGCTGCTGAAATTGTGAATGGTGTTTATGGTTCCGATACTGTAAAAGCCAATTTTGGTTTTGTAGATTCCCTTCAGGAATTTTTCGTCGACGAAAATGTCGATAAAATCGGAAAAATGTTTTTTTGAAATTGCAAAAACTCATTCAACAAAACGGTGAATATTTGCCCGAAATCGGGCATTCCGATGCGTGTTAAAGTTAATCACCCTTATTACAGTAGGGCTACCGGAAATAGTGGACCAAAACTTATAATTTTTTGGTAAGAATATCGTTAGCTAAAGTGCAAAAAGGCGTAACTAACAAAAAATTGAAAATTGACTTTTTGAATGAATATTGTGAATGTCAATAAACTACATGTGTTGACAAAGTTTTACACGTCTGCGGTCAAAAAAGGAGCTTCTATTAACTTAGAAAAATCTTCATTTGACATGTTTATAGTTTTCATTCAAAACAGTTTTCTGCTTCTACACAATTATGCTTTTGTTAGTTACGCCTTTTTGAATTTTAGCTAACGATATGTACCACACCATACAAACACAAAATACCAAAAAATTTGCTTGAAAGTGAACTAATATTTTCCGTTTTTGTCTTTAGAATGCTATCCTAGTAAAATTAAGTAGTGTTGGGGGTTTATTTTGGGATACCATTTGTATTTTGTTTTTGCAAAATAGTCAGGCTGAATCCCAGTTTGTTGTTTTTATATAAAAAACAACTATTTATTAGTGGGGAATGTATGACATTGTTTGCCGAGGGGTAAGGCAGGGAAGACTATAGTTTCGGATCACGCCACTGATCCTCATCAGTTCCCTTAGTTTTTTGTTGGGATATTCTCCCCAGAAGCTATTGCTTCTATACAAAAAACCTTTCATTCCCAAATGTCTCTTGAAACAAAGCGAAGTACTTAGCTGACCAACGAAATAAACTGCATGAGAATTTCGCTAGAGCCTCACTTCGAGGTTAACAAGGCATTTACAAACAATACCACACCTTTCCCACTGTTGTGTGTTGTCACATCGCGACAAATGCACACAACGACTTTGTTGGTGTTGCTAGTATACAGCAACAAACCAAACAGTTTAACCGTGCCTGCGTCAACAACTTCAGTAGTGTTTATTTTGGGATACCATTTGTATTTTGTTTTTGCAAAATAGTCAGGCTGAATCCCAGGTTCTTGTTTTTATAAAAAACAACTATTTATTAGTGGGGAATGTATGGCATTGTTTGCCGAGGGGTAAGGCAGGATAAAAACAACAAACTGGGATTCAGCCTGACTATTTTGCAAAAACAAAGTAAAATTAATTTTATTTTTTTTTATAAAATTTGTATATGCAATTTTCGAAGACTGTTTTTTTAACATATTATATTTTCACATATCACCAATATCGACCATACTTAAAGCAGCTAGCTCTATACTAAATTGGGTACTATGTATTACCGTCTGTACTATTGCAGTACTTATTTCCAAAATTAATTTCACGATTCGAACTCTAGTACCTCAAAAATCCAAGAGAAATCATATTCAGGATTTTCGGCCCGATCCGAGTCGAATTTTACCAATCAAATTGTACCAAATTTAGTACCATTTAGTGCACCCAAATTCAAATTGTACCAAATTTAGTACTATTTAGTACACATTTCTTAAACACCATCCAGACCTCAATTCTATACCAACGGTAATGTTAATTCCACCTTTTCAGGATTCCAACTATCGGATAACCTAAATTCAATTTGTATCAAATTTAGTAGCATATAGTACACATACGTACAAATTTTCATTACTAACTACATCATACAAGCGAAAGTAAATCTTATTTTCTAATTTCAGGAATGAACTTCTAAAACTTCCAACATTCACTGTCCATCGGATCACCCAAATCCAAATTGTACCAAATTTCCAAAACTACCAACATATCCCAATCCTACACTTCGACGGGATTTCAGTTCCATTCGTTTCTCCTAATTCAAATTGTACCAAAACCACCTCCTTATATTGAGCGACCCTACGTCTCAACCTTGATTCGAATACTTTTTTGTACTCTTCGTGTCGTTCTAGTTGGAATTTGCAAAAACCCAGTCTTATTTGACACCTTCGGACTAAGTGTTATCTTTACCCCATATTTCAAGACTATAGCTTCAGCCGTTTCGTCTGGGCGTTGATGAATCATTAAGTCAGTCAGTCAATCACTTTAATAAATATCTACCAATGGGAATAGCATTTTAACAATAGCTAAACACATGTTGCACCACAATATACATATTTACTTTATTTCCTACAGATTTCCATAATAGGTCTTATTTTTCTCAAAATGAGTTATTTTCCAATTACAACAAAAAATATCAAAATTTTCTCAAATACACCAATTTCCAGCCATTCAAAGCTAATTAAACGTTTTTGAAAATGATCATGATTTTCATAGTTCTCCGTTGTGAAAATATTTCTTACAACGATACACATAACATCTACACAATCTCCCCTAACTAATGCTACCAATTTTATGTCAGTACGTTCATTCGTTACTGAGTTATAGCCATTTGAAGTTGACCTTCAGTCAAAATATAGCGGCTACTCGATTCTGTTGGCCTGGTACCTAAAATTGGAAAAATGGTTGAAATTGGCATTTTCACAAAAGCGAAGAAAAAGTACAAAACAGCAGCAGCATCATTGCCACATTGTTCGATTTTTTCTTTGATTAGATGGTATATTTTTAAATTCTGAGCATACTTTCAGGCGCATCATACAAAACGATCCGGGTCGTGATTTTAATGTAACGCCTGAAAATATGCTCAGAATTTATAAACTAACATTAAAACTGATATGTTCGTGTCCGTTTTTATTTTTTACAATTCTGAGCATACTTTTAGGCGTTACATTAAAATCACAAGCCATATAAATTTCACGCAAATAACATTTTGCATGCTGCGCCTGAAAGTATGCTCAGAATTTGTAAACAAACCATCAAATCAATGAAAAATCGAACAATGTGGCAATGATGCTGCTGCTGTTTTGTACTTTTTCGCTTTTGTGAAAATTCCAATTTCAACCATTTTTCCAATTTGAGGTACCAGGCCAACAGCATCGTGTAGCCGCTATATTTTGACTGAAGATCAACTTTAAATGGCTATAACTCAGTAACGAATGAACGTACTGACATAAAATTGGTAGCATTAGTTAGGGGAGATTGTGTAGTTGTTATGGGTATCGATAAACAAGTATTTTCACAACGGACAACTATGAAAATCACGATCATTTGCAAAAACGTTAAATTATCTTTGAATGGCTGGAAATTGGTGCATTTGAGAAAATTTTGATATTAGATTGTCGTTGAATATTTGTTGTAATTGAAAAATAACTCATTTTGAGAAAAAATAAGGACTATTAAGGAAATGTGTAGGAAATAAAGTAAACATGTTGTGGTGCAATTTTAGCAATAGGAAATAATTTGAATTGATAAAATGTTATTCCCATTGGCAGATATTTATTAATATATGGGGTATATGTTTTTTCGAGTAGTCTCTATATAAATAAGTGTCCCGAATGATTTTAGATATTTTGAAGGCTCTAGCCGTGTATTCCAACCAAAGTGGCTGGGTTTTGATATTTCACATTAGGATAAAAAGAAAAAAATCTTCTTGGGATATGGGACTTTGTGTTTTTTGCACGAACGGGTGGTTAGTGCAAAATTTCGTTTTAATCGGACAAACATTAGGTGTTTTGTGCACCATTTACCTAAAATCGGGCTAATATATATCGGACCTATGTATAAAACTGAACCGATATTCTCGAAACTTAACACACATCATTCTAGACTCACTTCAGTACTCTATGCCAATTTTGGTGGAAATCGAAGATATATAGGGACTTTGGTGCACCATTTACCTCAAATCGGACGAAAATATATATGGGAACTATATCTACATCTAAACGGATTTTCATGAAACTTAGCGCACACCATTTCGTGCAAATCGAAAGATATATAGGGTCTTTGGTACACCATTTACATTAAAAGGGCGAAAATATATATAGGAGCTATATCTAAATCTGAACCGATTTTCATGAAACTTAACACACATCATTCTAGGTTTAATTCAGTACACTGTGCCAAATTTCGTGTAAATCGAATTATATATAGGGACTTTGGTGCACCATTTACATTAAATCGGACGAATATATATATATATATATGGGAGCTAATCTAAATCGAAACCGATTTTCATGAAACTTAACACACATCATTTTAGACTTATTTCAGTACCCTATGCCAAATTTTGTGCAAATCGAAAGATATATAGGGACTTTGGTGTACAATTTCGGACGAAAATATATTTGGGAGATATATTTAAATCTAAACCGATTTTCACAAAACTTAACGCACACCCTTCTGGGCTTATTTCAGTACCCTGAGCCAAATTTCGTGCAAATCGAAAGATATATGGGACATTAGGTGCACTATTTACCTTAAATCGGACGAAAATATATAAGGGAGCTATATCCAAATCTGAACCGATTTTTCCCAATTTCAAAAGGGTTCGTCCTTGGACCAAATAAATGAGCTGTGCCAAATTTCATCCAATTCAAATCATAAATGCGACCTGTTCTTTGTTTACAATTTAACATCTACAGGCGGACAGAATAAATCGACTTAGAAAGTGATTCTATGCATATTCTCAAAAGGAATCATGTGTCTATCTCGTTTCCTTTTGCCTGTTACAAACATATGCACAAAGACAATGTACCACAGTGTAGTGAAGGGTATAAAAAAAATTCCCTTAATAATTTTCCCTTCATGCTAATTAGGTGACCGGCACTGTGCTTCCTCACATTTCCTGAATGTCTCATGGCATTATGACGTCCAAGCATCGTAAACGTAATATGTAATTGGTATATACAGCAATCGTACGCTCCGTTTTCTTTTTGTCTCCATGGAATATCATCCATAGATAAACAACTGAGTTCTTAATTTTACGTTTTAAATTAAAATAAATCTGCAAATTTAATTCAGTTAATTTTACTAATAATAAATTATTTTATATATATTTTTTTAATCAATGAAGTGGAATGTTGTTTTGCATATTGCAAAGCTTATGATATACATACATATACACATTGAATAGTATAAAAAGTTTATATTATATTAAATAATATATAAAATAAAAAATATATATTAAACAAAATGTTTGAGTAATTATAAAAATATACACTACCTTTATTAATAAATTAAAGAAACTTCACATACATTTTGGATGTTTGATTTTTCAAATGTTATTGACATTTAAAGCAGCAGTTCGTCCTTTTCCTCTACCCATTTTTGGAAGAAAGGTCCATTAGTTCTGCTTCCATCATTAGCTATACGTTTGCCCATTACATAACCCCCTTCCAAATCAATTAAAAATACAAATTGTTTATTTTTTTGGTTTATAAAAAATCGTTTTTTTTTTTCTTCTTTTTTATTATTTTTATCTGTGCCTTTTTCGTTTTCATAACAAAAATACAAGGGTTTTATTTTATTCATCTTCATCTTTCATTTGTTTTAGGGGTTTCTTCTTGTGGTTTTTTAATTTATTTTTTATTTGTTTTTTTTTCTTTTCTTTTAGAGAATAGTAGTGTATAAAGAAATGTGTTTCTGTTTTGTTTTTGTTGTTATTATTATTTTTTATAGCATCTAAAATAATAATTATGTAATAATAATAGTAATATAGGTAGTAGTAGTTGTAATAATAATAAATATACATATACATTTATGATTGCTTACTTGAACCAACAATACTTGATGATGCTGATGAAATGGTGGATGAGGAGGAGGGGGCGGCGTTTTTTGAGGTGATTATAATGGTTGTTGTGGTGGTGGTGGTGGAGTTGTTGGGTGGGGGATGAGTTATGTTATTGGTATTTGCATTGGTGTTTGTGGTGGTCGAGGTGTTGGTGTTGGCGGCAATCATGGAATATTTACCAGCATGATTGCCGCCATCACAACTATCCAAGGCCGTTGACGTTGCCGCCATCGAATACGGGGCCTTCGAAGTTATCGATGATGATGTTGTGGAGCAGGATGAAAACGAGGCTGTTGATGCTGTGGTGGTACTATTGCAAGCTTGTTGCATTAACACCGCTTCCGATTTGGAAGATTGCAAACGTTTCTCACAGTACAGGGTGCCAATTGGCTGGGCCAATGATGCGGCCAAGCTTTTGGTTATGAAATATCTTTGATTGTTTGTGTTGGAAGTGGAGGATGATGCGATGCTGGTGTTGGCGACAGAGGTAGGGGGATGGTTTGAACTTGGTGTTGTGGCAGTGGTGGTGGTGTTGTTATTTTGGAACTGTAAACTTGCAGGATAATTTTGGCTAGTGGGTGATGTTACCGTCGTCGACGGCGTCATACCCGCCGTATAGGAAAATCTTGAAACTGGCAAACGATAATTCGTTGAAGTGTCGGAGCCCAACGAATGTTGCCGTAGCAATGAAGAAGTACCACCGTTAGTGGTGGTGTTGAATTTCGTCGGTGATGTCAGTTGTGTGGGGGAGGTGGCATTGGTGGCAGTTGTGGGTGTGGCATTCGTTTTCTCATTAGCCATCAATTTGAAAGTATTGCTGATGTTGCCGCTGCCACTTTGCTGTTTAGTTCTATCGGTTATGGGAAACTTATTTTTTGTACAGCTCAAATCCAATTCCAGCGTATAAAAACGTCCTCTACGATATTTGGTATTTTCATTTTCTATGGGTTTTGTGGTCAGGGGCGGTGATGTCAGGGGTGTTGAGGAGTTCAGACGACTGCTATTCATCGGCTGATGGGAAATGGTACAAATACTACTGCGATTACTGGTAGAGGTTTGATCACTACAATTACTACTACTAATGGGTGTGCTAGCACTACCGCCGCCGCCTCCTCCTCCGGCACTGCTATTCGCACCACCACTGGCGGCGCTTAACTGCAAAGAGTTTTGTGTGGCAGCATTCTGGTTAGATCCACCACCACCACCCATTGCTTGCATTGAATTGGAAGAGGCGGGATTTACACTGTATATGGTTGATGATGATGTGACCGAAGAGCGTGGTACACCATCGATTTCATCACAATTTTGTTGTTGCCTATAACGACTACGACGATAGCTGATATCATCCTCCTCGCCCCTCTCATCATCGTCATCATCATGATCATCGTCGTCGTCATCATCATCATCATCGTCAGATGTTATTCTAAGTTCGGTATTGTATTCGCTTAGGTTGGTGGTGGGATGAGGTGGCGGTGCTGCAGGTGGCGGAGCTTTGGTAAAATTTTTACAATTCTGTTTTAAATTCGATGATTTTGTTGTTGATGTTGTGGCCGTCGACGACGACGTTGTTGTTATCGCCGGTGCATTTTTCATTCGTGGAGATGGATCCAATACCAGATTTTCACAGCTGGCCTCATATACACTAGCCAAGGGTTGGGACTTTAAATGCGGTTTCAACGAGCTAGAGCTATTATTCGCCGCCGTTCCATTATCGTTTTTTGTATCACCAGCTTCTATGCCACCACGTCCTCCACTAGTCCTATCCTTGCGCATAATGACTTTATCACTTCCTGCCACCATCAACCTCTCTTTGGCTCCTCCGTCGACTTTCTTAAACGAGTCTTTATCCTTTTTACTCAAGATATCCAATGGCTCATTGTAGAACGAATCAAAATCTAAATCCAAAAACAATTCCTGCAAAAATCGTCGAGCATTCATGCGATACGAACAACGACCCAATGTTCGACAAACCTCGGAATAAAGGCATATATCTTGAAATGAGGCTGGATGTTTTTGTTTCAATTCGAGCAGTGCCATTTTCGATTGTTTGGCACTGACGGGATTGGCCAAACGTTGAACATTATATAGAATATTGGCGGTCAAACGATCCGGCAAACTATCCTCACTCAATATACTTTCCGGCGAATGGAATTCGGAAAATTGTATTGATGAGGCATTGCTGTACTGTTGTTGTTGTAAGGGAGGTTTATTTGCTGTAGCACCAGTCGCCGTTTTATTATCGGTATTCGTAGTGGAAGTATTTGTCGTTCCTCCACCTTTGCGTGACAATGCCACAGTGGCCTGTATGCCCGCTGCAACCAGTGCCGCTGAGGCATTCGTATACATTTCACATAATGTCGAAGTGGAAACATCTCCAGAGCCACTACCATCTAACCGTTGAGAACGTTTCCTTTGCCTTGAGCAGTACAGACAATTACTGCGTCCATGTTTACCGCCCACCCATTTGGATCGTTTGCTCACCGATGATACATCGGAAAGTGATGAAATTATTGATGATTCATCACCACCTTCATTATTTAGGGAATCATTTAGGAATTGCTGCTTAGCTGTCAACAAATTAATATCCATTAAATCCTGATCTTGAATATCTTGTGAAACATAAGTTCTCAGCTGGTTGCGGGTTGGGAATATATCCAAAAGATTTTTTGGTAATGAAATGCCTGAAAGGAGAGAAAAATTAATTAAATTAGTATTATAGATTAATTGTTGGGTGTAGGACAAAAAAATTGGGTTGTTGAAATTTTCAAATTATCTAAAAATAGAAATTTTTTAAAGGTGGCCCAAATTAAAACGACTACAGTTCCACAAAGAATATGCTTATGCAAACTGGATGGAACCGGAACCGAGTATTTAACAGCATCCCTCAACATGGAATGTAAGCAGGGTGGTCCTGCAATTAAAGCCTGGCAATGATGCCAACAGAGGTAAATTCGTAGAGTCCTGTTTTATTTCTGTTGCCAGTAGCAAAGACACTTGAGGACACACATTTTCAAAACCCCAAAATTAATATGGATTTCGTAAATGCACGGAATTGCACGTCACTTCCACGAAAATTAGTAGACAGCTAAACCAGAACCTAATAGTTATGATGTGCAACTTACCGACATAACAAGGACCTTTGGAATCATTTTGTGATAAAAATTTGGGTGCATTTAGCGTTGGCAATGGTACTTGCAGCTCTTCCGAATCCAGATGCCTAAAACAACAAATAAAAAAATATATAGTTACCGATTTATTAAAACTAAATCAATAATACTTACGCATACATTCTCAGTGATGTCTGGCGATCTAAGCTACGCACTTTATTCTTGCGCGAATCTCCAAAGGAAGATTTACGTGGTCGAAATGAGGCGTATGACAACAAATCGATACGATCAACAATATCATATAACTCAGCACCGGATTCAGATAGAACTGGGCGACAATGGCGTCGCAAGGAACGTAATTGAGCATAACCTTTTATGTCCACTGGACTAATGGCATTATGCAAATAGGAGCCGGTAACTAATGAGGTGCGACGTAACAGAGACGATTGACCCAATGGTATTTCCAGCAGATTTGACATTGAGGGTATAGGACTGAGGGGAAACTGTTGGAGATCACTAAATTTTGAAACAGAAAGTACAAATTAATATGCAATCAAATAAGCTATTTTCTGTAAAGAGCAACTTACCCCACTCCCGCTGTTCTTCCCGTAACCGATTCACAACTACTAACACCTGATGTATTGGAATCTGTACATGAATTGTAACGCGTTCGATGTGAATAATACATTCCTGGACCACCTGCTGTTGGCGGCATAACACCCGGATGTCCTCCTGTTCCTCCGCCACTCAAAAGACTTATAACATCGGTCGTTTTCGATTCGGACAATGAACGTTGATGCCGACCATGCCGTAGACATGAACCTTCTGGCAGTGTTTTCCATTTTACGGATGCCGGTAATACACTACTACTACTGCCACTTGCCGTACTACTACTAGCAATACCACCTGCTGTAGTTGTGGGTGTTGCCACACCACCACCACCCATCTGTCGTGAACAAGAAGAAGATGATGTCTTCTCTAGTTTAGCTCTCGGTGAACTAAATTTATATGGTTGTGTTGTCAGAAGATTATCTACACTAACCTCTTCACCCGATGTCTTAATACTATCGGTGGTGGTATTAGCATCTTGCGCTTCCGAACTTGCACTTGCCGCACCACCACCAATAGCATCACGATTCGTACTGGTACTACTCAATAATAAATTCGAATAGCTACCCGTATAGTAGGAACCATCGATTTGATCTTCCATACCCGTATAATTATACGGTGGTACATCGTCGAAATGATGTCGCAATGGTGTGTAATTGCCCAACATCCAATCTTCGGGTTGATGTACCGGCCATATGGTATTACGATCGTGTCGTACACATAACCAATCTGAAAGGGAAGGTATATTTGAAAACTATTCTGACATTTTAAAGTTAAAAAATAACTCACTTAGATTGAAGAGGAGATTCGCCCCATCCTTTGTGCTTCCAATTAGACCCAATACACTGAAGCATGTTGATCGTATCGAGTAAATATCACACTTTGTAGCCAATATAACCAATTTTTCATAGACCCTAAAATACAAAAAAAAATAATAATAACAATAACAATGAATTAAATAAATATACGAGGTATTTTATTTGATCATGAATTTTTAAAAACATTTTTTTATATTCAAATATCTGAAGAGCTTTTCAACAAACTCACCTCGTTCCCGTTTCCAAAAAATATTCAATGCCATTTGAATGGGTCGATGCATGACCAATAGCCCATATTGCCGATTTCAATTCCAAACATTCCGCTTCATCGGAACACTTTCCGCTGCTAATAACCTCTAAAAGCTGTGGCAGATCACCGAATTTTCTTAAGGCTGTTGTTCCCTGTGTTGTTTGAACCATTTGCCCATATAAATGGGCTGGTATATTTGGTGGTATAATAATGGGTCGGGTATTACAATTACGACGACTATAACCGCCTTCTTCATTGCGCACATGCAATGTTAGGCTGGCATGCGTATCAGCCTCGACCAATAAAACGTATCTGTGGGAAGAAAAAGAGAAAAATGGGAAATTATTAATTTTATTCCAGTGGGGTACCAGATAAAGTCAAACAAAAAGTCAAGAACAAAATTTGGTAGGTAGGTAGGTTTTTTTTTTTGTTGCTGTTCACTTTTTGTTGGACTTTTTCTATTTGGGATTTCACGCTCGCCTCTTATTGTAGCCATTTTTCCAATATTCAATTTCTTCTTTGACTTTTGCTTTGGGTTGGTTAAGACCACGCGACAGAGAATAGTAGCGTGCCATTAGTAGACGTCCCACATCGCCCAGGGTTTTAAGATTTGGCCATAGACTAACAATTTCTTCCAAATAATACTAAAATTCAAAAATAACGTTATTTTTAATTTTTTAAGAGGCAAAATATTGTATAACTCTGTTACCTTTTCATGACAAGCCTCTTCCAGGACATCCATTGCCGCCAAAACGACACTACGATCTGGATCTTTAGTTTGTTGTATAATTAAAGGTATACCCCATACCTCAAAGTTTGGTATGCGAGCTCTTAATAATACCACCAGAAATTGTGTGGCATACAGACGACTACCCGTATCCTTGGCGGCCGTTAAAGCTTTTTCCAAAACTTTACGGGGAACAGATTCTAGACTATAATCCAAACCCGATACAATTAATTTTACATAACATTCGTAATCGGTGTTGCGTACGAGATTGACAAGGCTAAAATGAAGATGCGGGGAAAACATTAACAAAAATTCCAAACATATTAGGGGAAAGTGTCTACTCACTGTTCAAACACCGCCGTATTCGTTAATATCGTAATGCCCTTTTGTGCCCGACACATCCGACCAATAAATAAAAAATACTGTTGACACATTGTAGTCTCCATATGCTTTGGACTAAATAGACAATCGTGTGCACGATTTGGTGTTGTTATGGCCAATAGCTGGGAGGCCACATCGGTAAAGAAATCAGTTAGTAGGCGAACACTTTCCAGTGGATAGATGGCCAAAAGCCAATCGATTAAATCTAAACCGACTTGAACAAATGGCGGCAATGTTTTACCCTGCACCAGTTCTTGATGGGAAAAACAATTTTTACTTGGCTTAAAGAAATCAATGAGATTTTTGAGGAACGTTAAACTTGGCTCTTCCATTTTACGGATTAGATTTGACTGGAAAGAAAATGTAAATAAATATATATATTTAATAATTAATACAGTCGAACGCTTAAGATTACATATTAGAAATATTAATATACCCGAATGCTTATAGGTACACGATTGCCATAGGATTACACTTAAATAATTCATTACCGACACTATATTGATTTGTATCTGAACGGGAGATAATATGATTTTCCAACCTGCCCCTTTTATGGCAGTGAATGGGTATACAATGATATCAGGCACCATCTTGAAACGGTGGCTCCTTTATAGTTCCCTCCAGGATGAAAATAAAAAATCTCCTCAAAGTTTTTTTATTGAGATCAATCAATTTCGCAAACTCATTTCTCATTTTATAAGGGTTTCCATTGGAGGGAATTATAAAAGAAATGGGCCTATAGTCCATTAAATATAAGTTCAGTATATATATAAAGTTGTGTAGAGTTCGTAGTAAATTGGATTAAACTTTATTTTGTATAAAAATCCTCTGCCTCTAACTCCAGGATCAAAAAGATGCGACATGTGCCTGTTGTGTTCAAAGTGAAGTGGAGTTAAAGGCTGTGCAGATGAAGAGGTGTAGCGTGTCATGTGGACATTACTACATGCCGGGCAGATATTGTCCACCGTGTCATCGATTCGTGCCCAATAAGTATTGAGGAGGCTACAACATACAGTTATGACCACTCTAGTTCGTTGTTGTTGTTGTAGCAGCCCCATTGCTTTAACACGATGAGCAGAGGTGACAGGCGTTGGAGTCATAAGGAGGCAACCTGTACAGTCCTCAGGGCGGCATTCCTTCAGGATTGAATATTTTTCCATTGCGTGGCACTAACCTTGGCGGACCACACTGGGCCGCACATTTTTTAAGGTTTCTTTGTCAGCTTCAGAAAAACTGCCGGTTAGCGGCTTGAGAAAATTGTTTCTGCTCCTGACTTTGGTGCGAATAACTGAGGCATGCACGGACGTCTTGTAAATACTATCGAATGTGATCCCTAGAAGTGAAATTTCAGAAAGGTGGTTCCTGTGATATCACCCTCTAAGGGAACTCACGGTATAACTCTATGGTACTTCGACCTCTTATAACTATCCTATTACATGGTCTTTTCTGGTTGAATCCTTCCGCATTATGTATGTAAATGGCCGACAAAGCTGTTGTTGGTCATTTAAGGTGACCTTTGTTGTTGTTGGACAAGTATGTCGCGGGTCGTTTCGGAAAGATGGGACTCCTCTGATAAACTTCTTGACCTTCAAGCTCTTTTTAATCTTAAGACCTCTCTAGATCGTTCCTCACACACCACCACATCAAAATTTTTTATATTTCTTAGCAGATGGTCCATCGGTGTCATGAAATGCTGCTGTCATTGTGGCGTTCTGACAAATCTGAATACTTCTCTATTGCCTAGCACTAGTATTCCCATAGCTGGCTATAGACCGACCAATTGCTTTATAAGAGGTTTGCGAAACAAGTGTTGTCGCCAAGGGACTTGAGGACCGTATTCATACTTTTTTATTTATACCGGACTTGCAGCAAATGAGCAACAAAAGTAAGATCGACGATTCACCATTGCTGACAACCTTTGATTCAGCACTACCATGGAGATTCTGCCCGGGCGTAATGCTTTCCTCGTCGGAAAGGATATTATATTAACCAGTATTCTTCCATCTGTCACTTTCAGGATACTCGACAAAATGACGTCGTTAAATTTGGCCGTTATCCACAGTTTATTCGGACCGTTTTAACTTCAGACGTCCAAACCCCTTACACATATGTTATGTTATTAATCCGTTAACCCAATGTGAATTCCCTGATCATGCGTTTTGCCAGTCTAGAGGTTTTCCCGGGATTTCCTTTCTCCTAACCGAACATCAGAAATCATGGAAAGTTCTCTGAAACAATGGTTGGTGAGACACTGCCAGTAGATTACACGGTAGCAGCTACCGGCGTTCGTTGTAGTTTCACAACCGACCCAAACCGGAATTGTTCCTGGACACATTACATCTCATCGACTGTGTCCGGTAGTGATGCTCTAGGATATAATCATTGAGAATGCTTATCATAATGAGAAAAAATACGCTTCCGGGTATTATGAATTTCCGTCAAACATACACATTCAATGGTCTTTCTATTGCTTACTGGTTTTCAATTAAAAAACATGTTCGCGTTCTTTGCGATGAATGTAAATGACATATATTTATAAAAAAGAAAAATTTCACACTTACTCTTATTATCGTTGATATAACTTCCCAATCCCAGCCGGTGCCATCCTTGGAATTTAATACATTCGAGTCTTTGATTAAACGATTCACTTTCATATTCTCTAGGAACGGTAAAAATTTACATTTCAAGCGAAAACTTGCACGACGTGATGATGATGACTGAGAATTTGAATCGTCACTGGAGACAGAGTCCAGACGGGGTCTATCCAGCGTACCAACACCACCAATGGAACTATATTGGCCAACACCAGGATATGTGGTGGCATTGGTGCTATTTGGATCAGGGGGTGGTGATTGTAGACTGCTGCTAGCGTAGGGGATATCCTGAGCATTGATTTCACGGCGAAAAAGTCTTGTGTGTATGAGGGCTGAAAGAGAATTATAATTATAATACAGTTGTATTGGAAGGTTTATGGTATGTGTCCTTACTTCCTTCTTGTATAATGCTATCCAAAAATAAACTACTCGACGCTGGACGATTCCTTAACATTTTCTGATAACATTCCAGTGCTGATATGGCGGCACATGCATTTATATTACCCTTGGTGGCATGCTTTATTAGTGTCGGCAGTGCCGGACTTGTACTGCAAATGTCCGGCGGCAAATGGGTATGCATTAAATGCAATAGCTTGCCAATTAGAACCGTGGCTGCCACTGATACGGAAACTTCACTCGATATTATAACCTCGACCAAGGCATTGAGAAGACCAGTCTCTAGAAAACAGTACAATTGTAAGGCCAAGTGTTGTTCACAGATATTGGGGGCGCGTGCTGCCAAACTCGGCAATATGCTGCGACCCTCGGCAGCAACGAAGCCATTCTTTAATAGCCAATTGGCTTGGAAATCAGACGGATCAACCGCCTGTAAAGCCACAGCATAATCTTCAGTCGTCCAAGTAGGTTGTGGAAGACCCAATAGTTCGTAGAGCAATTCCAATATTGCTTTCTAGAAATATAAAAAAATAATCATCAGGAAAACTATAATTTTTAAGGCAATTTTTAAGACTTACTCTAACTTCAATTTGATTTAAATATAAAGCATCAACTATTGCTTTTAAACCGGATGGTTTACTTGGATCACAGAATTCAATGGTCCCAGTCCAGCTGCGCAGAACAGATAATAAAGCTAAACGACAACTTGTGTAACGTAGTTCATGAGCATCTCTGAAAGAAAAAATACAACGACACATTATTAAAGAACCTTTAAATATCCAATGTATAGCCTCTCAACTTACTTATTCTTATCCATAATCCCCAGACGATATGTAAAATCGCAATAGGGTGCCGCCAAACAATCCAAACGCACTCCCGATATATTACGTGTATGCGGCCATTCCAATAGATACAGCAGTACACCACTTAAACTTTCGGCTATTCGAGGATTGTGACATTCCACCACATTGCGGGTGATTGAAGTCACCCCACCGCAACATATCAGCAATGTTGGATTCAATACGGCAAATTCACACAGTGTTGCCAGACAAACCCTCAGTAATTTATCTTTTTCCTCAAGGCCCGTATCGGCCAATGAAACTAGACAGCGAACCAATACCGGACTTATATTTTCCGGTGATATTGCCAGCATTTTGCGTATCTGTAAATAGAAGTAGAAAATAATTTTAGGTTTCTAATGTGGAATATTAATTTAATGGGAATTGTTTACCAATTTCAAGGCCTGAACACGTTCATCATTGTTCTTCAGCATAATGTCAATCGATCGACATAATAAATGCGGCAATTGCATTGAATTGAATATTTTGATATCCTTGGTTGTGGTCAACACATAACGTATCGTACGCAATGCAGCCGCTCTCACTTGTGTAAATGATCGTATTAGGGATGCACTCAAACTGAAAATGAAAGAAGAAAGAAGTTACAATTATTATATAGGGTAGTAAATAAGTAGATTCCGATTTTTTGTGTTGAACACATGTATCATGATTTTGGTTAATATATTTCGGGGTACTGGCAATGTGCACCTTAATTTTTTGAGGTTCCAGAGCATATCGCTTCAAAAGTTACAGTGGAGACAATCCAGCCAGAGATATCATAATCTACTCCAAAATTGTCTAAAGCGTATTCGAGTCTAAGCTGATATTTCGATCGGCGATCGTTAAGACCTGCAAAGCTGGTGAACTGAGTTACATTTTACACAAGACCTAACGATCATAATATGTACTTTTCTATTCAGTAAGAACATGTTATAAGGTCATGAAATTCGTTCGAACTAAATAAGATCAGATAAGCACAGCAGGCTTTTAACAAAGGCAGACAAACGGGTTCTATACGATGCGGTTTATCAAATTCTATTATGATTATACGCGTCCTCAAAACGCGTATAGTGGTAGGCCCAATATATTCATTGGATAGATAATAAATGGGAGTTAAAACTTGCGGACTTCCACCCTGAAATATGATTTGCTAACGCTAAGACCTCGTGTCTCTCAGAACAGAAAAATAAAACAATTAAACAAACAACTACCTTTTCGACTGATACTAACAACCATTATCAAAGTCTCGTACTTTAGTCAAAAGAGGCCGCCAAATATGGTAGAGAACAATGAGAACAACAATGTCGGAGGACAAAAATCGGCAACGGTTGTTGATCCAAAGAAAACAAGCTGACGGCTTCGGCATCCGGCACAGAAGGATGTCGACTTTTCTAAGGTGGAAACTGCTTGACAGTAGCGAATAAATCAGTGCTCTTGAGGAAAATAGCAACGGAGGGCAAGTTTGAATGCTCCAAATATACAATGGCCTACTTTTTCATAGGCAGTGTAGGAAACTCGTAATCAAAAGAAAGAAATCGAACCACCCTCAAAGCACGTTGGTAACTTGGTGCAAACAAGCCATTGTCTCTACAGACGGATAAGAAATATATTGAGAAGACTTCCACCGGGAAGACAAAAATCGGAAAACGGGGTAAGCTTTTGGTTACTAATAAACCGGAATCAAAAGACCTTTTTCTAACGGACGAGGTCTTCACATGGTTCGTGCTAGCTAATGCCTTTGGGGACGGGTCGTCAAATACGCCAAGGACAAGTCAGAAAACATGTTTCTGAAGGGAGGAAGAGAAGATTTTAGCTGTGTCTCCGCAGCTGCCTCTCCTATGCTGCTATTCATGATGAATGGTCTCCGAGTGTAGCATTTATACATGTTGTACTGCCTGGGCGAATTCATATGTATGACTGCTGCTATTCAGACCTGTCTGATTGGCCTGCTCATATAGATATTTGGTCATACAAGACTTGAATTTTTTCAATAGTCATACAAGTCGGATTTTATTTAAAGAATAATTTTTAAAAGTCATACATGGGTCATACAAGGCATGGATTTTTAATTCAGTTCTAAATTTGAAAGATATCAAAGCCATAGTATAACGACAGTCAGACTGGCCAAAACAGCATCCCCGTTCTTTGGTCGCAAAGATCTCAGAACGAAATGAAATCAATATGGCTAAACGTAAGTCTCGGTCTGCTACAGTCAATCATAGGAGTAAACGAACCGGCCAGATTTCGCAGAGCGAAATGATGGAACGTGGACAAACTTCGGCAGAGGAGTTTTGATCTTTTATTATCAACCTACTTCCCTGGCCACAATGACGAAGTGCGGTGTGCTCGTCGGCTTACGGTTCAAACCAAGGAAAAGAAGAAGTTGATAGGATTTTTAGAACTTGTTTGTTTTTAGCGTACATACCGCGGCTATGAAAAGTTGTAACCTTCATCCCGAAGGCTAAGATGCCGAATCATACGCTAACTAAGGACTACATACCAATTAACCTTTTTCCTTTCTACTTAAGACTTTAGAAAGGTTAGTAGACCTCGAAATTAGGAACACTATTAACCCTAATGAAATTCGCAAATCTCAAAATGCCTACACCAAAGCCAAATCTGTCGACACTACCTTACATGAGGTGGTCGGACACATCGAGAAGAATATGGAGACCTCCGGAAACACATTGGCTGCGTTCTTTGACATTGAATGAGCCTTCAACAAAGTGCAACTGGAAGCTTTCCATTCTGCTTTCGACTTTAGGAATGCTGGAAAGCAGAATTATCAATTTGCCTATTGGAGAGAGTTCGGTGAGAAAATCTGCCAACAGAGGAACACGGCAGGGAGGAGTATTATCTCCTCTATTATGGCTTCTGGTGATTAATGATATACTGTTGAAATTCGATCACCTTAGATAAAGGTTGTAGTCTATGCCGATTATTTAGTATTGCTAGTTATGATAGTCAGCGGGAAATTTCTGTCGATTACTTCTGATATCATGCGAGTGCCTTATCCAAGGCCAATGGTCTTGTAGTAAATCCTGCGAAGACAGAAATGGTGCTATTCACTAGAAAGTGAAATCCCAGATAGTTACATTGTGTTGGGTTCCAGGACACTCTTTGAACTTTCTCCATCTCCTTTTCCACTTTCCTTTACTCCTTTCTTTTCAGGTACCCAGGATGAGTACAATGGACAAATGTCTCCAAGTGAACGGCTGCACATCCTATAACCTAACCTAAGGGTAGCTTCTGGCAGGTCTGAATATTCTTTCACTACGAATCAACATACTGGCGCCGCACTTGAAAAAATGTTAATCCCTCGGCAGCTGGTTGGGTACACCGGATTGACTCGATTGAAAACTTCGGCCAGAGCAGACAAATCAATAAATGCAAGTGTTATAGCCTGTGGTTGTCTTTGTATAGCTTCTTATTTCGTGTGCGTTTAATAGCACTTTTAAGACTGATTTATATGCGATCATAATTCTGCTACCCTTTGATTTTTTTAATTCGGATTCAGGCAACCAGAAGTACAATTAGGCCCAAGTAAAAGGGATCACGCTGTACTTCATTCTGAACACGTGGATTTTGATATAAAAAATTCCTAACAGAAATCATGGACGAGTGGCCCAAATTCTCTGAATGCTCTGTCAATCTATATAAGCGGCCATAAAATGGAGATGGGAACAAGTTCAGGATGAACTTACAACTCCTTCTAAATTAATCATGGATTATATTGACGATATAGTGAAGTCATAAACTAACTACCACCCTCCTCACCGCACCTTAACAAAATAAATATAAATTAAGCTAAAAGCAACAAAAATAACAAACAAAACAAACACGTGCAGACAACTTTTATGACTGTCTGGAATTTAATAATTTGTTTTCATAATGTAAGTTTGTTGTTGCTGTTGTTGTTAATGTTATTTTTTACATTTTTTATTGTTATTGCTATTTTGTTGTTGTTGTTTGTTTGTTGGCTTTGTGAAATGATTCAGTTGGTGTTTATTTTAAATTAATATCCATACCAACAACTTTGGCGATGTTGTTGTTGTTTGTTGTTGCACTTACCAGTAGAGTAACTCTTCCGTGCTAAATCCCAAATTATTTTTGTATATTGATGCCGCCGACGACGAGGTCGCCAATGACGTTGATGTTGTAGCCAAAGAAGGAAACGTGGTAGGACCGCCACCGACTCCAATGCCCCCGCCGCCGCCGGCTGCTGTTGCTGCTCCGCCTGATGTTGTGTTCGTTGATGATGACGATGGTGACGTTGTTGTTGTTGTGTGCTGTTGGTGATGATGGTGCGATGGATGGTGGTGCTGCTGTTGTTGTGTTTTTTGTTGCTTCTGCAGCAGCTGCTGTTGTTGCTGGCATAATGTGGCCAATTCATTGAGCAGATCGAGACGTTTGCTATCGCGTGTCTCACGACAACACAATGCCGCATAGATATCATAGCAATTCTCGGCAGCAGATTTTGTTGGATCCAAGCGATAATATTTTTCCGTGTCTTGTGGAACTATAAAATAAGAGAGGAAGGTGGAATAATAAAACAAAAGAAAAAAATTAGTCAAACAAATTATAAAGTTTTTAGAAGAAAATTAAATGATGAAAACAGGGTCTAAAGCTCAAACATGACGATATATTCGGAATAATAAAAAATTGGATTTTTGAAGAAAATGTTTGATTTTTTCCAAACTACTTCTTCAAGAACCAAATGAAGTGAATTTTTTAGGAATATATAATATATTAAAAACCCATTTTTGAAAGAATATTCTTTCCATACAAGGCGTGGATTTTTTAAAAAATATTTTTTCCAAAGCCACGAACACCAGCACAAGGCGTGGATTTTTTAAAAAATATTTTTCAAAAGCCATGAAGAGCAGCACAAGGCGTTGATTTTTTAAAATATTTTTTTCAAAGCCACGAAGACCAGCACAAGGCTTGGATTCTTTAAAGAAAACTTTTTTCAAGGACCAACTACTTCTTCAAGGACCAAATGAAGTGAATTTTTTAGGAATATATAATATATTAAAAACCCATTTTTGAAAGAATATTCTTTCCATACAAGGCGTGGATTTTTTAAAAAATATTTTTTCCAAAGCCACGAACACCAGCACAAGGCGTGGATTTTTTAAAAAATATTTTTCAAAAGCCATGAAGACCAGCACAAGGCGTTGATTTTTTAAAATATTTTTTTCAAAGCCACGAAGACCAGCACAAGGCTTGGATTCTTTAAAGAAAACTTTTTTCAAGGACCAACACAAGGCGTGGATGCTGCAGCATATTTTTAGGAGGAAATATCAGATTCATAATCGTGAATTTATGAAGCATACTTTTAGAAAGAAATGTCAGGGTCTATTCATAAATTAATGCGGCATAATTTAAGGAGTAAATACCAGAGTAATATTCAGAAATTTATGAAGCATAATTTTAGGAGGAAATTCCAGAGTAATATTGAGAAATATATGAAGCATAATTTTAGGAGAAAATGCCAGATTAACAATCGTGAATTTATGAAGCATACTTTCTGGAGTACTTAGTGTAAATATCCGACCAAAGACATATTTTACGAGCGCCTAGAAACTGCATATGACCGCTGCCCTGGCCATGACATTGAAATTCTGCTAGGAAAAGCCTCCATGAAGAAACATCCGACAACGGCATGAGGTTGATTGGTTTCGCGGCAGCAAAAAACATGGTAGTTAGCAGCACCATATTCAAACATCTCGATGTACACAAGGCCACCTGAATTTCTCCTGATCAGACAACGAGAAATCAAATTGACCATGTTGTGATAGACGGAAGGCATTTGTCCAATGTTTTAGACGTTCGATAGATACGGGAAGCGAATATCGATTCGGACCATTATCTTGTGGCAGCCAAGGTTCGCACCCGTCTTAATGTAGCAGCAATGGTGCGATCTAATGTAACCCGATGGAGAATTATCGGGGGAAAAGGAGAGAGGAGAAACGTATTTTCAGAAAAAAAGAAGAAAGAACAAGAAAAACGTGAGCGTGAGCAAATCGAGATGTACAGGAGTCAGAATGAAGTCCGAATATTTTACCAACGAGTAAAACACCAAACCGAAGGCTTTGGGGCAGGCATATCCTCCTGTAGAAATGAAAAGGGAAACCTGGTAACAGATACAGACAGCGTGCTGAGGATCTGGAATGAGCATTTTGAAAAACGTATGGTATCAAATAGTAGGATAGAGGATACCTCAGAACCAATAACAGATGACGGTATAGAGAGTATACCACCTAGCCTAGATGAGATGAGGTCAGAATAGCAATAAATCGGCTGAAGAATAGTAAAGCAGCAGGTGCCGATGGCTTACAAGCCGAACTATTCAAGACTGGTGGTCAGATGCTGGTAAGGAGCATTCACCAGCTGATTAGTACAATTTGGGTAGACGAATGCATGCCCAATGATTGGAACCCCAGCATCCTGTGTCCCGTGCAAAAAAGGAAACAAGACGATATGTGTCAACTATAGAGGAAACAGTCTCCTTCCATCGCATATAAAGTGCTATCCAGCGTGCTGTGTGAACGTTTGAAGCCAATGGTCAATGACATTATTGGACCATACCAATGCGGCTTCAGACCTGGCAATTCCACCATTGACCAGATTTTCAAATCCTGGAAAAGGCCCACGAAAAACACATCTACACATTCCATCTATCCGTCGACTATAAATCCGCATTCAACAGCCCAGCCCAGAATCTGCCAACAGATTCTACTATGGTCTGAGTAAGCAGTTAAGAAACAAGGCCACCTCCGCCAGACCAAACTCACACTTTACAAGACGCTGATACTACCCGTGCTGTTATATGTATCTGAAGCATGGGTACTTGCGCAAGCAGATGAAGCAGCTCTTGGGGAGTTAGAGAGAAAAATTCTCCCAAAGATTTACGGACGTCGACGGTAAATATCGACGTCCAATGAACCACGAGCATTACAATCTACACGCGGACATCGACATAGTCAGTCGTATTGAGCTGAGTGAGAATGCCCCAGCTCAAAAGGCATATAAAAGCGAGCCTACTGATGGTTCACGCAGAAGAGGAAGGCCACGAATTAGATGGAAAGACCAAGTAGAAGACAACATCTCGGAACATGGTCTTTCAAATTGGAGAAGATGCGCACAATACCGACGCACTTGTAAATTTTTTTTTAAACTCGGCTTATGGAACAACTGTTCTGTAATAAGCCAGCTAAGTAAGTACTATTTGGTGGATTTTAATGAATATTTTTAGGAGAAAAAGCGTGGATTTTAGAAAATATTTTAGGCAGGAAAGTGTGGATTTTTCATGAACATTTTTTGGACATAATTATGGAATATTTTTATGAGAAAAAGCGTGGGGAACATTTCAGAATCATAAGCGTGTGTATTTGGTAAAGAATATTTTCAGGAGACCATTTGGGAATCATAAAGAATACTTTTAGGAGCAAATGTCGGAGGCATGAAGGGGGGTTTATATGTATATTTTTTGGAGAAATATAAGCCTATTTTTTAGGAAAAATATAAGCATATTTTGGGTGGAAATATAGGGATATTTGTTGAATGAAATATAAAAATATGTTTGAGAAAAAAATATAAGCATATTTTGAGAGGAAATATAAGTCTATTTTTAGGATGATGTATGATTATGATTTTTGGAGATCAGACATAATTGTGATTTTTTTTTTTTGATAATTCTATAAGAATATAAATGCATATTTTTAGGAACAAATATTTTAGCCATAAATGTAAATTTCGTGTTATATTTTCAGAAGAAAATATTAGAATATATGAGACATAGAAGCGAATTTTGGAGCATAGTTTTAGGGTGAATTTCTGTATAGTATCCCCTTTTATTTTGTGTTCTATGTTTCCCCGGCTGAAGTTTTTTTCCCCTGCATATAATCGTTTTATATAGCTGAGAAAATGTTGTATATATTTTCCATTTATTAATTTACAACAGTACTGACAGTTGTCACGAAACTTGACCAAATTATTTCCATAATGTTTGCCAGCAACGAACACAAATGCCGCCAACCCTTTGCATTTCTGTCGAATGGGGAAAAGTTGCAACAATGTAAGCCGCATGGAAGTACAACAACAATAAATAAATTTCTTTAGATTAAGAATAGAACAATACCAAAGAAAAGGAAACACAAAGCTGTTGAAAAGCATTATAGAGTAATTAATCAATTAAAAACCATTAAGATAGAGAGGGGATGGATAAGCGCCACAAATTGCACTTAATTGAATTTTAACAAAATCATTAACAACAACGACCATGATGAGGACGGTGAGGACGAAGACGATAAACGGTGGACGCAGAAATGCGATGATGGTCAGCTCAAAGGCAGTAGTCAGAAACTCATGGCCGTCCAATTTGGTGGCGGTAAACTCTTGAAACTTTTTAACATGAATGTGGCTAATGGAGGTGACTGGCAGGCAGGCAGGGTGGCTGACTGACTGTCTGGTTAGCTGCCTGGCTGGTGGTGATAGGTGTGTGTTGGTGCTGCTGCTGCTCCTGATGAATGACTGACTGACTACATTTCCACACTAAAACACCAAATGATGGATGGATGAGTGACTAGATGAGTGGATAACTAGCCAAGTGTAGTCAGTCATCAAACACGAAAGGAAAGAATGGATGGGCCAAGAAGAGTGGTTCGTTCGTCGGTCATGCATGCTAAAAACCAAAGAGGAGAGGGCACTTTGTCTCGAGGGAATTTCATTTTAGAAAAAGTCAAATCCCCTCCCCCGAAAAATGGTATTCAAATACAAGTTGTTTCATGGCATGGCATGGATGAAACAATTGGACTTTAGAGGGAAAAATCCAAACAATTGTTTAGATGATTTTTCCTCAGAAAGAAACTCTAGTGGAAAAATAAAACAAATTAACAGCGACAGTGAATGACACTTGAATAAAAGGGAATCGTTTTTTTAGGTTGTTCCCTTACCATGATAATAGCGGACCAGCAGGGCTGAAAAACAAAACTACAATAACCACTTATGTACACCTCATAAAAAAAAGTTGGCAACAAATTATGCTCCTCCATACAAATTGCCAACACGATAATATGATTACAATAAAATAAAGAAGAAAACAGATTTAAATCTCTCATAATGCCACAGGCGGCAGGCAATTGCATGCAACATATCACACCGCCACACAAACTGCTGTTTTCCACTATTACAACAAATAAGCAATTTTAATGTCAAGTTGTTTCGGGTGTGGTATTTCCGTACCGTTCAGTTTTAATAGTCATTCAACAATTTAAGGGACAACATGAATTAAAGGAGGGACAGATAATTTTCCCCAAAGAAAAAAAATCTGGGTCTGAAATGCCTCAGCCCTAGGGTCTGCCAATTTTTGTATAGAGAAAAACCTCAAGTCTGTTTTCGGGGGGATTTTTTTTTTCTACAGAAAATGGCCTCAGTCAAAATTGAAAATTTCTGCAGACCCCCATTTTTGTGGAATTTTATAGAAATAATCCTCAGTCTGTAGAAAAAAGGGTCTGA